TCCAGTCTGTTGGTACTTGTTCCTCATCCCAAATCTTATTGAAGAGAATGTGGAGTATCCGTGCAGTTGCCGCTACATCTGCTTTTAATGCCTCTGCTGGGATGTTGTCCGGTCCTGCTGCTTTGCCACTCTTGATTTGTCTGATAACCATGCTGATTTCTTCAATTGTTGGTGGGCCAACATTGATTGGGAGGTCCGTGGGTGCTGCTTCGATGTTGGGTGGGTTCAGTGAGGCTGGTCGATTCAAGAGTTCTTTGAAGTGCTCTACCCACCTGTTTCGTTGTTCTTTAATGTTGGTGATTACCTCGCCTTCCTTGCTTTTCACTGGTCGCTCCGGTTTGCGGCGATTTCCAGAGAGTTTCTTTGTCGTGTCATACAATTGTCTCATGTTTCCTTCTCTTGAAGCCTTTTCCGCCGTCGTTGCTAAATCTTCCACATATTTACGTTTGTCGGTTCTGATGCTCCTCTTCACTTGTTTGTTTATTTCCGTGTATTCATCTTGTGCCTTGGCTTTTTCTGCTCTTGTTCGGCTGGTATTGATTGCTGCCTTCTTGTTCCTTCTTTCTTGAATCTTATCCAGCGTATCAACAGTGATCCATTCTTTGTGATGGTGCTTCTTGTGACCCAGGACCTCATGACATGTTGGAGTGATTGCCTCTTTGATCCCCTTCCAGTTGCTCTCCATAGTAGTTCCTTCTCCATTGAGTAGATCATGAAAGGCCTGGAACTTATTGCTGATGGCTATCTTGAATTTGTTGAGTTTGTTAGTATCCTGGAGAAAGGCCGTATTGAACTTTTGTGATATTGTCCGCCCCGTTGTCCAGTGCTTCTTGAGTTTCAATTTCATCTTCGCGATCAGCAATTGATGATCTGATGCTATATCAGCTCCTCTCTTGGTTCTCACGTCCTCTATAGTCCTCCTGAACGTTTTGTTGATGCAAATATGGTCGATTTGGTTTTGTGTAGAGTGATCCGGTGAAGTCCATGTGATTTTGTGTATGCGTTTATATGGGAATATGGTGCCGCCTATGACCAGTTTATTGAAGGCACATAGGTTTGCAAATCTCTCACCATTTTCGTTCTTTCTCCCAGTCCGTGTCGTCCCATGATGTCTTCATATCCAGTGTTGTCCGTTCCAACCTTGGCGTTGAAATCTCCCATCAGAATGGTCAGGTCCTTTATTGGGCACTTCTCGACTATTGACTGCAGCCTATTGTAGAATTGATCTTTAGCGTCTTCATTGTAGTCGTTGGTAGGCGCATAGCATTGGATGATGTTCATTGAAATACCCTGTTTCTTTGTTTTGAACGAGGCTTTGATGATCCTTGGTCCATGAGATTCCCATCCTATAAGTGCATTTTGTGCTTGTTTGGACAGCATCAATGCAACTCCTTGTGTATGTGGTGCATCTTCTTCTTTATGGCCGGAGTATAACAGGAGCTCTCCTGTAGTTAGTCGTTGTTGTCCAACTTGTGTCCAATGTGTTTCACTGATCCCAAGTACCTCTAGGTTGTATCTTCTCATTTCTGCAGCAATCTGGAAGGCTCTTCCGGTGTCCCATATTGTACGAACATTCCATGTACCTAAATAAATGGTCGCTCTGGTTGTCAGAAGGGGCATCGGCCTCGTAACTTCCGAAGGGATTCGGCTTTCATCATGAGGCGTCATAATTCTTCTAAATGAAGACCTTCTGACTCCCAGGGCGGAGTTTAAAAGGTTTGAATAATTTTTTCTGGTTAGCGTTTTTTTAGCGAGTTAGTTTTCTACGGGATGGGGTCGCTAATACCATGCCCAACCCTCCTCCTTTATCCGGGCTTGGGACCGACAGTAGCCCCTGGAGGGACTCCAGGCGGAGTTCATGGATCGTCTTACATATCTTAAATACAGACGTAACGTATGCGAAGTTCAGGGTCGGAGATTATACTAAGCGGATTTCAATTGTCACTTTACAACATCTATAAAGTTAATAGACGGATATATCATACAAATACAAAGTTAGTAAATTCTTATGCAGTTTCTGTTATAAATATTTCTTGACAAATCAGTGGTCTTGCAAATCAGATGTAAACCGTTGTTGCATACTTCTGACCATACCGGTAAGAATGCCATGTAAATGATTGGTTACAAATATATTATCACACTACTCTTAGATGTTTCTGATCTAATGCATATTCCATTACCAACTGTTTTTTATCTTACTACATAAATACATATATTTTCATCCGAATACTTAGATTCATTGTTTTATCAAAATGTCATACTGGGTTCATCTGAAGATGATGATCGACTACTAACTTGGTACCACCTACACAATTGTTTACATATGCTCTCTTACTCAAAATATGCTTCACTTACGTCTAAGTTTCTATCAACTGCAAATTCCTTCTTTCATATATTCACTTTTATAACTGTTTGTGTAGGCTACAACCATGATTTATTTTGGATTCTGTTTGCAAAACATATATAACTGTTTATTCTTATTCTAGTTCATATTTACGAAAACATTGGCGCATAATTTTTGACGACAAATCAATATCCGACACTTTATGGAGTCAGTGAAAATATTATGAACATTGTTGAAACAATTGTGTGATGAAACCTGAACTGTTTTATTGCACGAAATGTTTGTGTTGATATGTTGTCTTGAGGTAGTCTCTACTAAGACTTTGTTACAAATCAAATAACACGGTTTGTTTTAGTGTACACATTTTCGATGCTCTCTAAAAAAAATACATATTACGTTTTAAAACTACGGTTGTTATATCACTGAAACAACACTACTACTTACATTATTTTTTACTTAGCAGACTATATGGTTTGCCTAATGAAACATTACCGTATTGTTTTAATAGGCATCGAATGTTACATTTCAACTTTGATCCTTTAGGCTAATTGGCATGGGTTTTATATTAGAACCGATGTAGGGTATTTAATAAGGCTTTCACAAAGCGTAAAAACGATTAATATCAGTCTTTTGTCTACTATTCGTGGCTAAAGAAAGCAGGCAGAGTTACGGTCGAACTACCATTCAATAGACTGCACATTCTGAATGCTAATAAATAATAACTTATTATATATAATTATCACAATAATGTCATGTCACCTTATTTCGAAGCAAATATGGAAATAGCCAGTGATGTTGTCAGGTCTTATATGATACTGTAATTCTTTTATTGACCCTTTCCAGACGTCCATCCCATTTTTATGTATCAGGTAATTGTTATAGGCCTCAAATAATACACTCTGAAAGTTGTTTAACTTGGATATTATTGTGAAGTAAATCTTTTAAGAAACCGAAAACATGCGATATTTTGGTGGAAGCATATCAGAAATGCATTAATAATATTATTACATTTTCATACGCTTATTATTACTTTAAACGTTAAGTTCATACGACCTATTGTTATCGGAGATAATTTATGATTATTAGCAATATATTTATTACAACTTTATAATCTCACCATCTTGAAGCGTCTATAGAAATTTGTGGCAATTTTAGCGACTTAAAATCCTGATTAGTCCTTTCTAAATGTTCACGCTCACTCACTTATATTTCTCAGCAACTAGAAAGACGTAAGTGAAGTGTTCTTCAATTCCGCGAAACAGACATTTTTATAAGAGTATGACATTGACGCTGACTATCTCAGTTAAATCTGCCCATCAAATCACATTTCAACCTTCCGCGGAACGCTTCCAGTGAGCAAACTAGTCAGATTAGAAGTCTCACTGCACATCACGTGTGCATATATGCCAGATATGATCCACTAATACATAATAATCACTTGACATACTATTGTCATCCGGTTAAACTTGTTAAATAAATTTTTATGCCATTTTCTGCTAACCATATCATGTCTGATTCACTTCAAAAAATAATTTTCCGGGAGAAATCTTCTTACATGACGAGGAACAATAAGACACTTAACTGTCTAAGAAATCAGGAAAAAGTCTCGGGGATGAGCTCATAAGGTCAAATGTTTTTATCTGTTAACATTCAACTACCACGATGATGTACTAGAAAGTAGTGCTCTGTGGCTTGAAAAATCTTGAAAAATAATTAGTTTAGTGAATATTTAAAACTTTATCTAACCTTATTATTTCTAACTTGCGCTCAGTGACCCTTAGTGACCTATGATCCCAAACATTTTTAGGTTTATGAAAATAGATATTTAATCTATCTGTCTAATAATATTACGCTGACAGCTTATTATTTTGCGTCCAAATTTTTCAGACATTAACAAAGAATGGATTACTTTATTATTTCTCTCTTTGAATTTCAAGAGATGGTTCTTAGGCATGCTGAGATGCATTGTCGGTATATTTGATATAAATTGTCACAAAGGAAACGTATGAAAAATACTGAGATACTGAGAAGGAACGCGGAATGAATTGACTCAGAACTTATTCCCACGAAGTGCATTCCAAGATGATAGTAATCAAGGCTTATTCACTAGGTGATTTTTATCCGCGACAATATGTAAGATGTGCACGAAAACCTCTGGCTTGACGGTTTGGCCGTCCCATAAATTATTATCTTTATTTTTCGGTTTTCCGTTAAGGCCAGATAGTATTAAAAGCTCCGACGCAAAACGTGCTTTGAATATTCTACAAGCGGTGGTTTGAAGTGTTGATAGAAAATTTTCTACTTCTTATTCAGATAGGAACGAAACAGTAGTATGTGTCTAGTATTTGTTTGTTCACAGTAATTCGATGGATCTGGTCGTCAATGTTTATTTGGCTTATTTGAAGTTATATAAAGAAGAATGGAGTGTGGTGCTTGCATGAATGTTACAGCCCAGGAGTTTCTACAGAATTTGGGTAGCTATTAGATTAACAATTATTCTACTTCGAAAGAGGCCGAAAAGTTGGAAACTGTTGTGTTTGATGACGTTCTCATATGTTATTCAAATAATAACAAAGTTGTAGGGTCATATGAGGTAATGAATATCCACCAACTCCAGTTTCAACGTTAGTGTCGAGTTACGAATAAGGATCTAGATATGAAAGGGCTCCTTGTGAAAACGTCAATTAGAACCATGCTAGGGGAAATACATAGCACTACGACACTTGAAGCAAATATAACTTCCTCTCTTGAGACAATTTCCCAAACAAAATTAGAAACCATTGTGGTATGTTGAAAATTTTTTCCAAAGATATGTTCTAGATGAACGGAAGTGTTGTGGAAAGAAAGTCTACCATCGAACTTGTTGAGAATGTGTATGAAATCGGTTGTACTGAATCAGTGAATGGAGAAATTAAGTTTTCAACAAAGAAAAACTTAGCCCAATCTAATGTATTAGGGTTAATTGCCGAGGGTTCGGATTTGATTTTTCAGCGAATTTTGGTCAAATCTGCTTTTTCTGTTCCTTTCGAGGTTATTGGTTTAGATACAGATTATAATCTAGCCACGGTGTCCTATGTGGGTTTTTTTTCAAAAACATTTTCCAACAATAAACAGATTGATCTTGGAGAAAGAAACGTATCCATCGGAAATAGTGAAATATCATTGAGAGGAATCCAGAGGACTGTGCATTCTCAAAAAGCCCTTCCGTCATCCTGGCAAACTTACTTTATGCAGGACGGGTAAGAGTATTTTAACCTTATTTTAAAGCTTTTTACTTTGTTGTTTTCAAGTGTCTTTCCTTGATAAGCTGGCAAGTCACGCAATTAAACGACTTACGTTCTTATATTTGCATTAAAACGTATAAAAAGTGTGAGCTACTACACTAAACTGGTGTATTATAGATTTTAATAGTTTGTAGGAGACGCAACATTGCTTTAAAGACACAGGTAAAGGTTACAAAAGACACACCACATCCATATGTGACTGTATTCACGTATATTTATTAAACGCCCGATTTATTTGTGACCGAAGGGTGAATGGTATTTTCAGTGAATATAGTTATTTAATTTTATTTGTGTGTGGGCTGTGATACTGACCGGGTACGCAAACAGGAGCAGGTGGTTTTCTAAAGGGGCCACACCCCGAGCCTTTGAACTAAAGGTCTGACCCACAAGGCAGTGGAGCATCATGAGGAGATGCGATCTCATGGTAGCCGGTGACCAACGATTGGTTCATACGCCATTTGTCCCCGCAGGATACTGGAGCCCATGTGCGCCATTGGTTTGGAATCAGGGTTTTCCATTCCCCCGTAGGTGGACTCACCGTGTTCATCGGCATGGTTAAGGCGTCGGACATTCGCTTTTCGTCCTCTCAATTTCGTTAACAACACCGCCACGAGAAGGCAGTGAGTAGGACTTCCCTGGCAGAGGCTGTATACGCGTGGCCGTGTGAGAGCATTTTTTCTCATAAACACACCTTAACTTCTTTTTCTGTCCCCATTTTCATTGTTTTGTGTGGCGCATATATTTTTGATGCCCCCTTGTACCAACATGTATGTGTTCAAATAAATAAATTGTAACCGTGTACATTACAGTGAGTATAATCATAAATATGTTTAGTGACCCTTCATAAATCACCATGCTAATTTAAATAATTGTCACTAATTTATAGTGCACCCAGTCAATCAAGTACTGTCCACCAGTTAGTTCAGCGTTTAGTATTTAACTGGTAGGTGATATGTGCTTTTGTATATTTATGCGTAATAGTTTATGATTAGATGTAATCATAGTGTGCGTATTGTAATGTTAACTGTATGTTTCAGCTACTTCGTACACATTTTGAAATCAAACCCATTAGTAGATGGTCAGGTAAAATACGGAATACTCAAATACTTTATGTCTAAGCCTCATTAGTTCAGAAAAGATTAGTGATATCAATATAAACTACTATATTTTGAATAGGTAAGTGGAATCTATTGGCTAGTTAGGTTTTCGTCACGATTAGACTACTTTGAAAAATCACTACCTACATTAGTAGCGCTAGTCTAAGAAAATGAGGTTTCATGTGTATGCTTATATACATTTACTGTACTCAATACGTAGCCATACATTCGTTTAGTGATTGGAATCATATCTAATCAATCGTCTTCACATATTCTTTGAAATTTAAGTCAATTAAAATAGCGATCTCCCTATAATCTTGTCATTTTTAAAGTAGAAGTAGTGAAAAGTTTTCTAAAAATTGTTTCAGCCATATGATACTAAGAATACAAGTTGGCTCTCCGATCACCATAAAGGCGAACGCCATACCTGAATTGTTCAAAAAAGGTTTGTTTTCCAGTTATTTCCTTTAAATGTCCTTTAATTTAGAAATGTATTTGCCTAAACCAGTCGTCACAAAGGTTTCCTTAAATTGGGAAGATGATCTGGAACTTTATTCGCGTTTTTTAGACCGAAAGGTAAAATTTATTGCTAACATTAACTTTGAATTTCGTAAACCTTTGTTAAGTTTGTAGTTAGAAGTACTTTCTCATTATAAGTATGCTCCAAAGATTCACATTCGAATTAAATGAAATCAAATTTACAGCGAAAAGTTTGAAAATTGGCAAACCCAGCTAATCGAGAGGAAATAAGATTCAATAAATTTTTGTCAAGACTAAAGTAAGTGGAGTCAGCTTGAAATCAATATCCAGTTGTTGGGAAACAAATTTCTAAATGCATGAAATATAGTTTTTGATTAATTCTAAAACGAAAGGACAATAACGTTTAGTAGTGTTTTGCGGGTAAATAAGTCTCTCATATATTATAAAGATAACGACATTCGAGTTAATTGAGCACGACATAAGGATTTCTGGTTCAGTATCATTATAAGTGATATTGCTTATGACCGAATAGTATGAAGTCAGAACTGAGAAATCTAAATTTCCATCATTTACATCTGTTCTCTAAATTTCATTACATATTAATGCAAAGAGTCCACAAATTGCTTTTTCCTTCCGTCATCATTGATGTAGATTCGTTTTTTTTCGTTTTTTAGGATGAAATCAAAGCTCAATATCTTTTATATCTGCGCGATCACCCAGAGATACATGATATGATTTCTGACTTTATTAAATCATTATTACTTCATAAACCAGATGAGGTAGTGAAATACGCTTCAGAATACTTCAAGAGTTTTTCAGCTCGCGCGTTACCGAGTAGAATATTTTCTGTTAAAACTGTATAAGTGTAATTACTTTCTATCAGGACATATGTTATTTATTTTATTTTTTTCTTCAGACGTGTTTAGACCGTTTATTTTTTCCTTATTTACTTGAATATCAGGTTTCCCATCTTTGTTCTCACCCAGTGTCCTTTAGTAACTGCATAATTAATTTCTGAAAATATATATTATTTTGGTTGTTTGCCTTGACAATGTAGGTGTGATAACCTAGGAATTCTTTTAAATAAGTTTCAGAAATATCATCAGATCCACAAAGTTGTAATTAATTCAATGACTTGAAATATTTCCGAAAATCATTTTCAGCAAACCTTAATAAAGAAATAAGAGAAAAGGCCTGAAAATTGGTAAAATAGATGTCTAGTAGTATCTCTGAAATAATTCTAAGGCTCATCGTGGAAGAGTAGTTATATAAGCGCGACAATGATTTCTCTCTGACAAAGTTATATAGCTTACATAACATAAAATTATTTTACAAACGGCGTGCCTTAATAATGTGTAAATTTGAATTCCAGGTAGAAAATGTATTCTCTTACAATACACTATGATGATAAATTTCGACGGTGAAGAATTCATATATAGAACCTAATTTGAACGGCGGTCATAAAGTTCTTATCGACTTTAACTGTATTATTATTAACTTACAACCATGTTGGAAATTACGTTGATACACGAGAACTCTGTTTTTATATTGACTTAACTACTGATACAAGTAGGTAAAAAAATAAATATGCTCCACACAAATAAGAAAATGAGTTTTTGGGAGATGGGGAGAGGCGAGGAAGCATTGTCGAATAAATAAATGAAAAAAAAACAAATTATAATAGGGGAGACTAGTTAGTTCGAAAAATACAAATAAAAAGCATTTTTTTCAGTTAAAGAAGTTCCTTTGGCTTTTACCAGGAATTTAAAATGAAACTACAGAACGCCCGTCATTGACTTTTGTTGCGAGCCATGCCTGATAACTTTTTAAGTCAATGGCTATACTACCTCTAAGATCCGAACATAGGAATCGTGATAAACCAGCAGTTGGCTTCTTTCATACCGCTCCTCCATGTCATATATTCAACACTTATCTATTTCTGTGTAGGTTCAGAGTCGGCAAAGAAACCAAAATGTAGATCTCGCTGTGAAAAAATTCTTAGCACGTGCCAAAGCCAGCGAGGCCGGTATTTAATGGTGGGGACCAATTGAATTATTGCCACTTAGCCCTAATACAAACGATTGGACTCCAAGATTACCAGTGGTATTCTCACTAGTTATCTGCACTCCTTTGGAGACAACAGTCATCAAACAGAAAGTTACCAAACAATCAACTTGGGGAGGCCGGGTTTTAAGAGCTTGAACCAAAACTGCTCTCACAAACGCGTCGTAGACCTGGTCTTTTACAGCCGGACTAACATCATAATGACTCTGAAATGGCATAGGCCACTCTAACTTTTACTATACGCAAATTAACTTAATCAGTTACGCTACTATCAGCACACAAAACTACCCAAATACAATAGTTTTCGACTTCTAACTGCTCACCATCAAGAGTCAGTGTACACACGCTCCTACCAGCCTTGTTGAAGTGCTTTTTATCTAGAAGTTCCAAAGTACATGTCATACCTATGGAAACTGATTGCCAAATACTTAAGTACGATTTGGATAACTTCAATGTCATTGCATAGCGAGACATTATCATCCCCATGCTCAAGATCAGTGTCTTCGTATAGGTAACGGGCCCACACCACCACTACATACTACCAGAGCTTTTTCCAGAATGTCATGGCAGAGTTGAAGAGGAATGGTGAAAGTGATCAGTTCTGCCTATCCTTATTGTTCAAGTGGGACGATGGGAAGAGGTGGTTGTGTACCTCCATTCTTCTTTAGGCACTTAGATGCAGAGCCTTCAAGGTGTTAACGAACTTCTAGGACACTTCACTAGACGAGAACAGTCCTATCCAACTAATCGAAAGGGGCCCTGAGGTCAAGAATTATGAATACTGTTGGCTTGCAATAGGTACGGTGGTCCTCTAACATTCAGTAAAAGGTGGGAATATGATCAACGCATTCACAACCTGAACGAAAACCATCCTGTTCCTCGCGAGTTATGACGGGACCCTATAGTTTATATTCACCCAGGAGTGGACTTTTCCATCCATAGTTGTCGAATAGATGATATAGGTTCTTTTCAAATGTAGGTATCATAGTCGCTTCGTTTAACAGTGATGAAACACTACTCAAAACTGTCTAAACAACCCATTCAGCTCCCTTACCAGAAGTTCGCCACCATTCCTGAACAGTCTGGTAGTATGTCCTCTGATCCTAGTGACTTGGGCTCCTAGCGTTAACATTCCCCGTGTACCTCCGCCTCGTTGAATGGGTCGTCACTCAACTGAAATACCTTCGGAGAACTCTATTCACCTTCCAGGAGATAGTTTGATGTTATCTAATGGCGTCTCATCAGCTCTGTAGATTGTTTCAATCGCTAATCTTCTTGCTACCAATGACACAGATGAGTTGAAACAGCTTACATCAGTTAAAGGAAGCAACTTTGAATTCGTCAGAACGCTCCAACCACCAGACTTCTACGTCACTATGCGAACTTAGCACGATTTCCTTAAGTAAGAATCTGCATTTGTCATCAAGCTCAAAGTTGGATGGAATAGACCGACGTACCTCATGGAGTTGAAAACATCTTGTAGAAACTCAGCGCTTGTAAGCGATGTTACTCAACATTTCCACGACGTTATACAAATGCAGCTAGTATTCATCTAAACTTTTCGGTGGGTTGATAGTTATCCTTGAACCTAACTCAATGTGGTATTTGGTTGTGACGAAAGTTTCAGGGGATTTATACCTACCTGTTTAAGACGAATTTATAGCCACTAAAACCTAAGATGATCAAGGTCTAGATAGTTGCCCTAAAAGAAGCATTATTTTTGTACACAACTAGTCCAGGGGTATCTGGTTTCAAAGAGACCAGTCTTGGTGTAGGTTCAGTTGCAGAGAGAAGGCGCTAGGTAGCATATTTGTGAAAACTGCAGGAATTTGGTGCTAAACAGGAACAAGTTGTGATATGCACATGCTTCCACAAGACGGTCACCGCTATCGGACGTTTGACCGACTAATCCCAATTGGCCACCCCAACAACTCTGTACACAAACCCACACATTCGGCCAACACTACAAGGTTTGTTGAATGAAATTTCTTAACAAGATAATTTGGTTGTTAGTAGAACTCATCCTCGATTCCACTCAGACTATAATCTTTCAGGGCATATGGGAGGGTTTTGAAAAGACATCGTTCCCCAATCCAATTTCTCACATTAATGGGACTTCCTAATCTGATGGCGAATAAATGACTGTTAATGAGAGTCCTATAGATTGATGCCACATATGCCAGCCGAATTGGGTGAAGATGCCACATATTCACCGGATGAATGGACATGAAACAAGTTTTCAAATCGAAAGATAACGAACAAATTTGTGGTACTTCATTAAAGTTTTAAGTAAGGGTCTCGTATATATAGCTAACGTCAATGTCATTACTTTCCACGAACGTAGCTAAACCTATCTGTTGAAAGTTCTGGGTCACTGCATAAACGTTGATGGCGGCCACTGAAAATGCACCGTGTGATTTTAGGAAAGCTGGTTCAGATTTCATATCTGATGGAAACACTTGAAACTTCAGCCAGTCATCGGCTTGAGATCACTTAGATGGGAAAGCCAGTTCGAAGTGGAGGTGCTACTGAGAGAGTTGAAAATAAAATAAAACAGTGGGAAGAAAACGGAATGAAACAAAGTAGAACGAAACAGTTGGATTATTTGAATATTAATTATACTTTCAGTGATAGAGGAAGAGGAGCAAGAATATTAATTTCTTCATAATTTTGGTTACCATATTTGAGAAAAGTCAGGGACACTCTTCGGGTGTAAAAACTTAGGCAAATAGTTTTCTTAGGAGGTTTCTCTTCGATGCTTTGACCTAGAGGCCTGATAAACAGGGTATTAGAGTAAAGTTAAGAGATACTATGCCATGGTAACCAATAACCAAAAACAGACTCATAAATCGTTCGCTCCCCCTGGAGCCCATGTGCACCGGTAGTTTTGAATCAGGATTTCCCAACCCTAGCAGATGAACTCTCTGAGTCAACCAACCCAATTAAAGCGCCGACAGATAGTAAAAATTTCCAATCGGCATGCTAGGTGCAATCGTACATAGAGGAATGATCATTTAGAATATTTATTTCTTGAACTCCCTTCATGCTGTTGAAATTATACGATATTAAAAAAAAGCTTTTTTTGACATTTTATTTTAGTGATAAGGAGGAATGAAGAGAAAATTTAAAACGTAACATTTCATCACTTCAACAAGTAAACTTCGCAGAGAATGCGTGAAAATAAACTTAAAAACTATGTAGCTGGCACGAAGTTAATGTCCTTTTATTTCCGACTGCAGGGTTTATCACCAAGCATAGCATAACTTACACAGAAGACTAGTTTTTCAATAATTACTCCACATAACTAGCATAGTAACAAAACCCCTTTAAATTATTGTTTGATTATTTCGAGAGAACGTCATCAACCAGTTTAGAATAAATAAATAAAATCGAGGAATAAAATGTTAAAGAATATGGAATAAAAGCAACTGTGACCGAGTTGTCACCAAACACTAATAACCATACTGTACGACTATTAAGGGGGTTCTAGACTGACGGTCGACGAGTTCATAAGTTTTTCGTCATGTTTTGATCTACCGTCTCTTTATTTTAATCCAATAACTAGCATTTCAAATCAGCAAAGGCAGTGGCTAGACATGCGTGAAGCACGTCCTAACCAACTCATTCGAAAGTACAAAACTCCACTGATTGGCTGGACCTTTTAATCCAGTACCTTACGCCTAACTATACTCGGTTGGTGCACCATATACGAACAGTGAAATTTAATTTCGAATACCAGTGGCTTATGAATGTCCTTTAATCCCAATGTGCCATTTTTCTAATTAGATTAGTACAGAAT